CTAAGAACCTCTGTATTTATGATAAGATTTATTTGGGGGTAAAATTCTACCTGGATCTAGATTTATTCTATTAATATAGCATTGCTAAGTGCACAGAAATTTGGCAAATTCTTAAATGCAATCTTAATTTTGAAGCTGTTTTTCTGCAAGTTCTTTTAAGAACCACAGAAAACAATTCAAAAGGGAGACTGAATTCAGCAATTTACTAGATTTTGGATGTTCTGAGAGNAAAAAAAGTTTACAGATAAAGAGCTTCAAAATAAGGTCATATTTAAGAAGTTGCCAAATTCTAACTTTTGTGTTTTATTTTATGTGCATTGACCAGCATGGCAAAATACCCTGATTTCCCAGTTTGTTATTTACCATTGCAAAATAGCATGCAAATACGTGCACACAAGTGCTAGCAAATATGAGACAGACAAATATTGGCTTCAGTACCAGTTGTTTTGGTGGGTGGGTGGGTGGTGGGGGAAGGAAAGAAGAAAACTGAAGAGAAGAAAATATAAATTTAGCAAGGAAAAAGAAAAAGTGATTTTCTATCCACTGTTATTTTCTGGCACGAACAGAATGCATCAAGTGTGGACAGGATGGATCTCTGCAATAAAGCCCTCCTAATTCACAGACCTAGACATAGTAGTATTTTACTTCCATTTCTTTAAGAATAATGTAAGCTATTGAGAGACAACAGTGAGGCAATTCTGAATGAAGTGGGTACCTTTGCTATTAAGGTTAATGTACCATAAACCTATATAGAAAAGATATAGAAGAGAAAAGATTAATGTACTATTAACCTGACTAACCTATTACCACAGACATTGTCCTGTCGTCTTGGGCACATACTAAACATTGTGGTTAGGGCTTATCAGTGATCATGCTCGATTACAATTGAGGTTTGGGTATAATCTTAAACAGGAGAAAAGGAAAGAAGGCACACTTAACTCTCAAATATCCAAATAAGGATTAAAAGGCACGAGGCCTCTGCTGCAGAGAGTACAATTAAATACTGTGGAACATGTACTTAAAATTCCGGGACCCATAATTTTAGGAGGACTTGTGTAGCAATAAGCTCCTAAATGTAATGTGCTTTTTAATTAAAAGCTTGGTTTAAACGAGATGGCATTTTATGGATCAAAAAATCCAGATGGGAACAAGTCCAATTCTACATTGGAACGTTAAGTGCAGGAGCTGATAGAACAGACAATTTATGTGTTGAAGGACCACCCTTAATACAAAACATCCTGGGTGGACTTTATACAAGCAACGTTTTTTTTTCTATTCAGCTGCAAAAGAGCCATATATTCTCAGATCCAATTTGCACATTGGGTTAGTTGTTTGGATGATATTACTGCTCTTGGCCTCAGCATCCAGACTGGGGAACTCGGGGAAGGATGGGGTGAAAGAATGGGGCAGGGGTGGCTGGCGAAAAAGAGGAGAAACATGGTACCCACCCAATGACCTCCAGTCTTACTCTCGCTCTCTGAAACCACCACCACCAACCTTCCAAGCAAATGCATTTTTTGTTTCAAGTGGATAAGGCTCGCCTGACACTAATCAGCTAAACCTATTAATGTAGGTTCATAATCCTCATCCTCGCCTTCAAGACCCTCATGGCCTTGCTCCTTCCTACCTCTGTGACCTACTAACCCCATATCAACCCGTCTGCTCCGATCGCTTAGCAGGCTCTGGCTTACTCCATGTTACCCGCCCAGCTCACCATCGGCAATCGGGCCTCCAGCCTCTCTGCCTTTGGAACTCCATCCTACATTCCCTTTGCTCCCTCCCTTGCCTTCTCAAAACTCTCCACTTCATCCACACCTTCAGCCACCCTCCTACCGTCCCTGATCCCAGCCGCCCTGCTGAGGTCCAATTCGCTGACTGTCCAGTACCTTGGGACGTACTCCTCATAGGAAAGGCACTATACAAATGTAATTTTATATTGCATGTGCTCATGGTCTAGGCTAGCACATATGGTACAAGGAGACTGGCATCAACCACATGAAACCCAAATGAAGAGGGGGGTAGGAGAGAAAAAGAGGAAATCAGGAAAACTGACCAGGAAGTGATACTAAAGTCATGCCATCTGTAAACTTTTTCTAGACTGGACAAACCGAGTTTTCCCGAGAACAGAACGTTGAGCAGAAATCTATTAGAGGTATTTAAATCCTCTGCGAGGTTTGGAAAACGTACAGAGGAATTTCCACTGGCCAACGAGATGGTAACTAGAAAACACAGATTTAAGGTAATTACCAGAAAAGCAAAGAGATCAGTTCGATTTTTTTATTTTATTAAACACAGAGGACATGGAATTCCCTACCTGAAACTATGATTGAGGCAGAATCCACATTAGCTTTTAAGAGGGAATTACATAAATGTCTGAAAAGGATAAACATATAAAAAGATCTGGAGAAATGGACTAAAACAGTTAGCTCTTTCAGATACCCAGCACAGGCAGATTGGGCAAAATCCTCAGGCAAGACATAGGGAGAGGTGCTGCACAGACCACTGTCCTCCGCCCCTCCTGATACCAACCCCCAGCTCGGGTCCAAATCCTTGACTGTCCATCACCTTGGGATGACTTCCCAATGGGAAAGGCACTTTACAAATATAATTTGTTGTTGATGGCCACCTGTATATCAAATTTCCAAACACAGGAATTTCCATTTGTAGGCAGCATGTACAGAACTCTGGTTGGTTTGGATACTCTTAAGCAACGTGATGGATGTATTTCCGAATGCATCAAGAAAACCGACTAGCCAAAAAAAATCAGAGAAGTGACATGCAGACCACCTGAATATCAACTCAGTACCTGGATTTTAACTCTGCATTATCGATGCTTGCACTCGTTTTCTCATGTTGAAGTGATCCGCACAAGAAATTGTAAACTCCATTTTCGTTGTAATAGTACAGCCAAATAAAAACAATGATCATGAATGTGTGCAACATTAGTTCCAACAAGAAGTAAATTATTGTCATCAGTTAGCTATGGTCTGGAAACAAAAGATTAGAGCCATTTGAAGCTTAATATATGCATTCAGATCCCATTTATAGAGCCCACAAGTTGTTGCTCAGTGAAAGAAATGTGTATGGCTGTCTTCACACTGTGCATCTTAAGAGAAGAGATAACAAATGTAAATTGTAATGTTCTTTTGACAGTATGCACTTTAGGAGTGGGATAAGACTTGAAAAAAGTCACATCAGTAAATACCTAGATATGACTGTCTGCACTAACAGTGAATTTTCCAACAAGATCTTAAAGCAGAATGTTCTAGAAATTATAGGAATAGAAAGTACATGCAACATATTAGACTATGAAAGTTTAATGATACCGTTTATAAAAAAAACCTTGGGACTTATCCAAAGCACCTTGCAATGTTGGGATTAACTGGCAATGCTGTATTTCATTGTGGCTTTGCCAGGATGCCTTGCAAGATTCCTTTTGCACAATTTTCAAAATTGCTGCTTATACAGTCAATAGAGCTGTTGTGCATACCTTAGATTTACTACCTAAAACATATTTTTCACCATAACTACCACCCTGCCACTTTTCAGAACGGACAGCTATTTCCAATGAAAAATAAATAGAAAAAGAGTAATGGGCAGACGCACGCAGTGTCTTGGAATGATATGGGGGGGGGGGTGGTTTGGGGAGAGAGTGTGACAGATAAATTAGGATGGGGCAGTGCAGAGAAAAAGAGATTTCAATATCAAAAAGCTTTGGAATTCAGTTTTATAATAATTGCTCCATTGAGGCCTTTTTTTATTGTTAGCATACACTTAGCTCAAATAGAGGCAGACCAAAATCAAGTTGTATCAGAGAGGGGGAGACCATTTGCTGCAAACCTAAATGACTGTGATTTACTTTAAACCATTGTCTATAGTAGTTTGCACTGAGGAGCCCAGCCCACTCACATGCTGTACAAAGGTACACTGACCAATGCAAAGCGAGACTTGACACAATGCCTAACTTTCAGCACCTCAAAAAAAAACATAATCTCAAGGCTCACATTGAACTTTCACAGCTCACTGAGAAAAGTTGCTGTGGAAACATTCCACTTCAGTTTAGCTCAGCTTTGATTTAGGTTGCCTTGCCTTAAAAAAATTCTTTTTGGAATTTAACAATAATTAAATTGAAGGACATTTTACTTAATCTACACTTAGGTAAGTCAGATATGAATGCTTATTAGTAATAAATTCATACAATTTGTTCTATGGGAATGAATGCTAATTTCACAGCCCAATGGACCAATAGCAGCTCCAGGAAAGAATAAAAGCAACAAGGTGTGCAAATATACACCAACTGTCGAGATTGCTTTCTAGAATTTATATGGCAACAGTTTTTGATAAAAGGGGAATTCTGTGCTGTGCTTTATTCCTACAATAATTAGCTCAAAAACACAACCCCCACACATTGAAGGCTGGAACTCAAAATAAAGTTTAAAAGACATCTAGGGACCATTCAAATTTCACCTCCATTAGATTACAGGGTCTAATTTGTGGTATTTCTTAATAAGGAATCAGAGTAATACAGAAATAGGCCTCCTTCCAATAACTGTAAGTATGCCTTGCTGACCTGTAAACTCTGCACCAATGCTTCAATTTAATTCGGGTATGGAGTTAGGGGGATGCGAATTATACGCTAAAGGTACTTCATTACAAAATACTACAAATCTCAAATTAAACCTACAATATTTCAAATCTCTTCGCAAGGCAACTAATTTATTCTATCTAGTGCTCAGACTGACTTTAGTCTATCTAGCCCAATTGCATAGGTTTAACAAAAGACTCTCAACTCAATGTTGTTTCATTTCATAAAACAGCCCCTCAGAAAAACAGTTATCTGATAGCACACGTCAACTCTTCTGAGACCAGCACTGAATCAAAGAACATCTCTTGGTGTGAAATTTCCAATAAATAATGGAACACCAGTCTCAATGACAAAAGGTTGGTTATTCTCTGTAGGGAATGAGAGACAGTGGCACAGGACACTAAAGCCTCCTCACCTTTGGTTCCATTGAGATGAAGCTGTGCGATCCCCGACTGGATATCGTTGACCTTTTCATCGTTCTACTGTGGTAAAAGTGGTAGTAGTCTTTCAAGGAGCCAATCTGCAAGGGAAAAAAAGAAAGGCGTTTAAACACTGACCAGACTAGGTTTTAGCAAGTTTTTTCTCCAGTGCAGCTTATACATTATTTAGTTTCATTTGAGCCAAGTGATCAAGTGTCAATTTGTTCCTCAGGATCACCTTCCAACAAAAAAAAGCATGCAAAAGCAGCACAATACAAAATGCATCATTGTGCTTCCATGGGCTCGCTTAGCTTTGTAGAGTACGTAGTTGTAAAACCTTAAAATAAACAAAATTACTGTAAAAAACAAACAACGAGATGTAATCATTGCCTCCACATGAGCATTTCTTTAATAATAGCAAGTGATAACGACAGTCAGGATCCAGAATGCAGCTTTGTTTGGATGCAGTGAATGGTCAGCTGCTGTTCTCCACTATTAACAGCTGCAGACAGAAGTACCTCACACAGTGAAACTCATCAAAAAGACAATTTGTTCACAAACAAAAATACTTGAACATCAGGGCTTGAAATCTGTTAAACAAAAAAGCGGATGGTAAATTTCACATGATTTTGGTAAAGTGATACTTGTGTTCAGTTGAAAAGACAAGTTATATTCACCATACCAAGTTCAGCTTGAGTTAAATTGGTTTCATTTTGAATACGGTGTCCTCATCTGATGGAAATTATCTAAAGCTGTGTGCTCCCAGTGGGCACTATGCCATACAGTCTGGATGGATGCAGGTTAGAATTCAGAAACTGTGCAGAGTTCAGCCGCTCATCCAGGGCAAGAGTTTGTGCGTTACAAATAGCTTCAGCTCCCCTGGGGCAAGGGAGGGGAAATCAAAATAATTAGCCATCTCCTGCTTGCAAGGTTAAGACTTTATCCTAGGTGAGGTGTGCGATATAAATGAGTTGTGTGGCTGTCTGGCGAGACAGGATCAGACTAAACTGTAAGTTATCAACTTTCAACACAAGGAGATTTAAGCAAAATATCAAAAAAGCAACCTTTGCCTACGCTGTGGTCCAGTAGTAGGAAACAGGAGTCAGACAGAGGAAGAATCGAAGAAGAAATAACAACTTACATTTTTATAACACAGTATTATTCAGAAACTGTCTCAAAGCACTGTACTGTCAAATGTCATGACCTTTTCTACTGTAGGCAAATGCTGCGATCATTTGGAGTCCTGTGGTTCAGTGGCTAGAGCACTTGCCTCGCAAGCGAGAGACCTGGGTTCGACTCTCAGCAGGATGAAATGTTGGGCAAGTTTCCTTACTCCACACGCCTCTGTTTACCTCGCAGTAAGTAGGAACCCGGTTGTTAGTCGATTGACTGATCGCTTTTCCGGGGGTAATAAGTCCTTAAAAAAAAGTCACTCAATCCACAACTGTTTGTGGGACACTGCTGTGCGCAATTGGCTGCCGCGTTTCGTCAACATAATATATAGTCAATTCACATTACAGTATATTCTGTGACGTGCTTTGAGACGTTTCGAAGATGTGATAAGGCATTATATCAATGCAAGGATTATTATTATTTTGTGCACAGCGAGATTCCACAGCCAATCAGGAGGTGAACGTTCAATTAATCTTGAGGATTTTTGACCAGGAGAAACCCGTTTTACTTTCCATTACGGAAAGTATCAAAAATTTTAACATCCATTTGAATAGCAGGCAGATGGGACTTTGTTTCTACATCTCATTCCCAAGACAGCAGAGTATTCAATAATAATAACAATAATACAATAACATCCAATCCAGATAGGATCCAGAGAAATTATTTCCTCTGGTACGGGAATCCAGAACAGGAAACCTAATTTGTTAGGTCAGATAACGGATATGGGGCAAGAGCAGGTAACTAGACTTGAGATAGAGATCAGCCATGATCTTATAAAACAGCAGAACAGGCTTGAGGCGCTGAAAAGCCTACTCCTGTTTCTGTTACTGCATTTCCATTTGGTAAGAGTAAAGAATGAATGAAGAAAAGCAAAATGTAAAACTTTCTGGCACTTAAAGCGCCTGGAAAAAAATTGATATGCTCCCCTTCACACTGAGGAATGCTGCATTGTAGAGTTAGAAGTTGGATAAGAATAGCCAATCATGCAAAGCCATTCACTTTATAAGCACAGTACATGCTGTGATAATAGTGCACATCTTAGAAACATTGGAACGAATATCGGAGTAATAGTGGTACAGGATTTATTCATTCGGCTGGAGTGAATTCTAATTTCACAGCCCAATGGTGCAATAATGTGAACTGAGTTTTTTTTAAAAAAACAAGTTTTCTCTAGTTTAAAATAAATAGATGCCTGGTTCAGCAATGATCTTAGTGCATGAGGGAGAGGGAATCCAAGCCAGCCCTGGCTGAGAGACACAAGACAAGGTCTTGCAGTCTCCAGATTCCAGTGCTGTGGGAGCTGCTGAGTTTATATTGCTAGCCAGTTTCCACAGCACAAACAAAACAATGGACATTTACAGCTGCTCTTCATTCGCCAACAAATGCTACACTTCATAGTAAAACCCTGTGCAACACGTCTCAAAGATGTAATAAAGTGCTACATAGTCATCAAATGACTTTTATTCATTTTTTTGTGTACTTTATAACTGTCTGGTCACAGTTCCTTCCTATGACTGTTGACCTATGCTTCTTAGCCTACTAACTGCCCAAAAAACCCATGGCTACCTCATACAACAAGCGCAGCCCACCCATGTGTCCTCATCAGAAGCAACACAACCTCCGAGGGACACCTGGAGAAATCACCTCTTTAAGAAGATCTCAACCCCTCTGAAAGAATCAGCATCATATTTACTCTAACTGTGCTGGATTCAATTAGAGCCATTAAGGTGGAGTCTTCACAGCTATTTCAGAACAATGGAGTCAAAGACGAGGCATTTTGCAAAGCCTTGGGAAAGATCATTGCCTCAGAAAAGCAATTATCATGTTTTTGAATCATTTCAGGCTATGTTACAGGACAGAGCAGCACGGAACTATGAGTACCATTAAGTCACAAGGTCTAGTTTACAAAGGGGCCCCAGCAGAAAGATAAGATAGAGACAAACAGTAACCCGAGCAATGCCACACACTGCAGATTAAAGATTGCCAACTATTTGAATTCCAGGAACGGGGTGGGGGGTTGGGTGCCAAACACATTTTATTTAATATTTGCAAAGTAAAGTAGTAATTTTATAAAACTATTAGACTTGGCTAACATCAAACTAAAGGATCTGAATCTCAAAGAATACCAATAATAATCCCATTTGATATAGCGCTTTATCACATCTCAAAGCGCTTTACAGAATATACTGTAAGTGAATGGACTACATTTTGTGGGTGAAACGCAGCAGCCAATTGCGTACAGCAGTGACCCACAAATAATTGTGGATTAAGTGACCAATTATTTATTTTTTTTGAAAGATTATTACTGCCAGAAAAGTGATCCGCCAATTGACTAACAACCGGGTTCCTACTTACTGCCAGGTAAACAGAGCCTGTGGAGTAAGGAAACTTGCCCAACGTTTTGCCCCGTCCGGGAATCGAACCCAGGTCCTCTTGCTTGCTAGTCGAGTGCTCTAACCACTAAGCTACAAGATTCCACAATGAAGAGTAAGAGGAAGATGAAGTTGATGAGGAAGATGAAGGTGATGAAGATGAGAAAATTGTTCAGGTCTCCACCGTGTTGAGCACAGGGCTGGTGGTGCCCGGATGGGCACCGACTTGTGGTGCTTGTTCAGGTAGGGCTTGAGGACGAAGATCTTGTGGCAGCGCTTGGAGCTGAAGTGCTTGAAGGCCGAGGGCGTCAGCATGTGGGCGCGCAGGTTGGAGCGGTCAACGATAGACTTGTTGCATTGTGCGCAGCCGAAGGGCTTCTCCCCAGTGTGCGAGTGCATGTGGCCCTGCAGCAGCCATGGCCGCCTGAAGGCTTTGCCGCAAGCCCCACATATGTGCCGCAGGTCGTGGGTCAGCAGATGCATGGCCACACCGGCATGGACACATAGACCATGCCACATTTCGGGCATTTGCGCCCCAGTTTGCCATCCAGGCTGCGGTGGGTCCGCATGTGGAGGCTCAGGTTGGACGAAATGGCATGGGTCTTGAATACACCACAAAGCATATCAGATGCGCAGGGAACAATCAGACAAGTATCAAAAGCAGATGGAGAGATAAACGCATCGGTGGGAACACTCAGCAGGTCAGGCAGTATCTATGGAGAAAGGAAAGTGATTTGACATTTCAGGTCAAAGACCTTCATTAGTTCTGATGAAAGGTCATCAAATTGAAATGTCAAATCACCTTTCTTTTATTTTTAAGTAGTTATGAATGTAATATTCCAGGACTATGTTACACATCATTACAACATCACCTTTAAGTTGTGATTATATTTGTTTAAAATATAGGACTTCCAGAAATCCAAATAGACATTATATGTCAAATCGAGGATGGAAAATGTTGTGTACTATTTGCCAAGATGAATATAACCACAAATCTACTACAAATTTTATTTTTTCAAAATCAGAAGCTCAGCGAAAGGCCATGGCCATATAGCACAGCACATTTAGTTGGTCAGCTGGGTGTCTGACACATGCAGAAACCCATCACCACGCTTAAGTGTATCCAAACCAAGCTGAGATTTGATTCCCACCTACATATGGAAATTCCAGAGACAGATTATTGGAATGGAATGCACACTCTCTCCCTGGAGGGACGCATCCTGCTTATCTAATTCTGGAAGGTATTAGGCGCAAGTTGGCAAGAACCAAAGCTTGGGGACCCCAGAGTGCGTGTGGAGTTATTGCTGGAGTCTAACCAGCTAAAACCGCATAGCTTGCCATTGACATTCCTATCTGGCAAGCTTTCCCACTGTTTCTCCAACTAGGAATACCCAACCCATTAGAGCTTTGGCTTGCAGGGTTAACAGCAGCTGAGTGGGAAGACTCCCAGCACCCAGTGACTGATCTGCCCTTCCGGGTCCTGCCAATGAGCCAGGCTGTCTGTGCAATCATCAGAGTGCCCTGGAGTACTGCAGATCAAAAGCGAACTACCAATA